ACACCGGCGGCGGAGGACGATGGATGTGAGCCATCGCTACGTTGGAGGCTCGTCCCTCCGCCCCTTACGGTGTTTAGCGCACGATTTGTGCTTGGCTGGCAGGACCTCCGAACTATGGTGCCTATTGCAGCACCAAAGAAAGGTCCGACAGGTCGCTACCTCCGGCCACCGATTGCGGACTCTTCTCTGGAGACGCCATGGGAGAAACCCTGAGAGTCGTCGACCGTTCTACTACCATCCGGGCACCAAGGAGGTCACCTGGCGCAAACCAAGGCTGGCCCCGATTCTCCAGCGGGACGAGGACAATGGCCCCACCCGGCCTGGCCGAGTTCGTGAACGAGCTGAGATTCGTCAGCCACGCACCCCAAGCCCTCCTCCTGGCAAGAAGGCCCGGTAGATGACAAAGGTCGTATGAAGCCAACGCCGAAGCATCGTGGACCTGGGTCAGAGCACCTCTCCTCTACCACCTGCCTCTGAGAATATCGAGACGGCGAGGCAGACTACACTGCCACCCTCTTCTAATGATTCCGAGGACCCATACGAGGCGGCCTGGCAGATACAATCTGGGAACCTGCTTCTCAAATCAGCTGGCGCTGTTGCTGCTGCCCACAGATCGAACGCCGAAGTGACCTCGACTACGAAGCCTACACCGGCGAGACGGAACAAGGAGGCTGGCTCATCCGACAAAGGCACCAAACGGCCGCTTGAGACTGCAGCCACCATGGCCACCAAGACTGCCTCCACTGCTCGGAGCTCCAGGGCCGAAAAAGGTCCCCCGCGACCTAAGAGGTCCATATGGTTTGAGGTGGATGACACGGAGGATCAGCTGTTACCGACTCCGTGCAAGAAGCCCCCTCCGAAGCGCAAGGCCCGGACTGCCACGGCCAAAGCCCGAACGCTGGGTAAACTGCTCCAGATCTCTCGGAAAAACCGAGCAGCGGATGGGCCGAAGGCTCCAACTGCCTCACAGACCGAATTGCCTGCAGCTGCGGAGTCATACCTGCAATGCTCAACGATAGCAGTCAGTCCTACATTACTCTGCGATGGTCTGTCAACTCGCCACTCCTGCTCTGCACTCGCTCAGGTCCGAAAAGGTACTCGCTCAGCTTCTCCAGCACAGGGCTGGCGTCTCACGAAAGTGTGCCCTCCTGACATCTCTGGAGTTTGGATAACCTGGAGGTGTTCAGACCGAGCAGCTGATAGAGCCTGGTGCTCATGCTTCGCTCAGGAACCAATGGTTATACCGCAGTTGCACCTCAGGTCCCCTACCGAGAGAGTCAATGATGCCAAGACACATGCCAGGATTTTGGCAGGCCTCTAGGGTCCCACGCGACCTCCACCCTCGTTGCCCTGCGATGCATCTCCCACGCCCAGTCTCGAATCGCCACCCAGATCCCCGCACTCGATGCCGGCCGGATCGGTGGTTGCTCAGGGCGGCGAGCCCTTGTATCACTTTGGCTCATGTAATGACAAACATGCCACAGGTCTGCCTGCTACACTGGCAACAGGCGTGCCCTTTTCTTTTGTGCCATTCGTGGTCACCCCAGACTTATCGGAGTGGCTTCTGGAGCAGGGATGGACAGACGCCTACCAGGCCCGCACGCCGGAACAATGCTCTGTTTGCATGCGTAGTGCTCGCCCTGGAGCGGATATCTTCCCGTCGACCACCATGCCTCCAGCCGTCCTTGCCCTGCAGCCGGTCGGGGCCCTGGTGATCCAAGTCATTGACACTGGGATGCCTCTCTTGTTCACCCCTGGCCTTCAACAGCCCCGGCCACAGGATCGTGGCAGCCCAATTCGGGCAATTCTCTCCTGCAGACCACTTGTATTCATTTGAGCAGGAGCTGCCAGGGACTCGCCTGGCTTTCCGCCTGGAGGACCCCAGATGTGAGTGGTGTAGACTTGCATATCGGCAACGCACTCCTTCTCGGAGCAAATGTAAGCTGAGTCCAAGACCCAGTTTCAATAAGATCCGGCCCTTTCCAACAGGCTCAGGGTACACGGAACCTCAGGATCTCGATCTGGACACCATGGACTAGACAAGCTTCGAGGGAAGGGTGCGAGACTGCAGGACGAGTGCCTTCCCGTTTGCCTGGGCCGAATCAACACAGCCAATCAACAACTGACCATCTACGTATGTATAGGAGCCTCTCCGGTCCCAATTCCGGAGACCGACTAAACTGTACGGCTGATAACCTTCTTATGAGCAGTCGTTTTGTGCCCCACAGGAAGGCACACAAACAGTCGGTTAGGGTGAGGGTTGAGAGCGAGTGCCACCCGCTCTCGAGACCGAATCTGGTCTTTGAGACCGGAAACGGGAAGCCATGGCAGGAGCATCCACACCTACTCTCTACAGTGGGGACTGTTCCGAGGGACTCCCCACATCTTCCCTTTTCTCGTGTCAACTGCCATGCAGTACTTGAATATCCAGCATCCCTGCTGCCACCCCGGCTTTCCCTACTACCAGCCTGCCTAGAAGAGTGGATGAAGGGAGAGGGCCGTGCCACCAACCGCGACCATCAAAATGACCGCCCGTGTCTTTTCCTGTGGGCGTTGCATCCATGGTTGCTGCGAGACTCTAAGTATCGTTTCTGCTGCAAGGAAAGCATACCACTGCGATTGGTGTACATGTGGGCTCCAGCATTCACCTATCTTACCCCTACGTGCAACCGTACCGGCAGGCTGGACCTGCCATCACGATGGACCTCAGGGATTGCAACCGATCAGTCCCCTCCTCCCAGGAACGCCCGGCAATTTCAGATCACCCGAGACCTACCAAGCGGTGGTGCCCACTCGCCACCTACCCGACGACCAAATACGAGGCCGCCTCGCCGAAGCCTGTTGTCGACGCTATCCTTTCTCATGCTAGGTGTGGTGCGTGGTGCTCCCAGTGCTGTGCCACTAGGTGCCTCACAACTACACAATCCCCTGCCTGCAGATTCGGGCCCTGCATCTTATGGTGCCGCCAGGAAGCGATCGCACAAGAGGGCGGTTCATCGTGCGGTCCAAAGTGGTGACCAGCACACTTTCTACCGTGGCAGGATTTGCTCGTTGCAACAATTGTGTCATGGCTATCGAGGTCGGAAGCCAGCACCCGCTGCGTCACGACGCGCTCAGCAGTGCCATTTGCAGAGAGCTCAGCACCGGCTTCTCACACTATCCTGGAACGCGGGAGGCTTGACACAAGCCTTATGGCAAGAGCTTCTGCTTACTCTGGAACACATGCCTATGCCTGATCGGCCACAAATAGTCTGTGTGCAGGAAACACATTGGTCCAGCATTGTCTCACCGGAGTTCAAGACAGCTGAGTGGGAGATTTTCACTTCCCCTACCACGGATAACAAGTCGGCAGGACTCTTGATACTAGTAGACAAATTTTTGGCCCGAAGCTGCCAAATTGTCTACGTGGACCCGAAACCGGGACGGCTTCAACATCTTCGCCTCATTCACTCTCAGTGGACTGCCGACCTACTGCACATCTACCAAAAAGCGTACAACTCACATCCGAAAGCAGTGAAAGAAGCCCGTGAAATCAGGTCCGAAGTTTGGAACTCCATCCGTGCTCAGCTGCAGAGGCTCCCGGCCCGAAACACGCTCATCATGCTTGGAGATTGTAACACTCCGCTGAAGCCCAGCAGTGCGGCTGGGGTCCGGATTGCAGCAGGCTCGTCATCCAGCCCGGGACCATCGGATCAGGCTCGCCTGCAAACCCTGATGGAGGACTTCTCCCTATGTCATTTGAATTCCTGGTGCAGGGCTGCGGGACCAACATATCATCATGCGAAGGGCGCCAGTCTTATTGATCACATCTTCATGAGAATCATGCAAACAGACGACCGGGCGAAACAAGCCAGGCCGATCACCCTTGGGTTAGCTTCTTGGAGACTTGGTGGACACCACCTACCGGTGAAGGCGAGCCTGCCGTTGGCCCGCTTTCATACCTTGAATAAGCTGTCGCCCACTCCGCAGGAGTGGGACCATTGGAGCCTTGTGCAGGCGAGCTCTGACCTGATGGATCCGCGCATTGTACAATTGAGGACCCTGCTCCTGCATGAACTCCCTGCTATAGCTAACCTGGAGCAAATGCATCACACCCTCAAGCAGTGTGCAAAACGGGTCTTCCCGCCTACCACAGGACAACATCGACTTGCCGTCTGGCAGACACCCACTATGCAGAATGGCATCAAAGCCATGTGGCAAGCTTATCGTTCTTGGAAGCAGGCAAAGCAGCAGCACCCGGCAGATGTCCTTCGAATCTCCAGGTACTTTCATCTATACAAAGCGGCTCACAAGGACTTCAAAAAGGCTGGCAAGGCAGCCAAGAAGGCCTGGTTCCACAGTAGACTTACGGACTTGCAGCATGCTGCGAACATTGGAGACTCCAGAGCCCTCTACGCGGGCCTGCGAACTGTAGCCCCTAAGAAGTCTCAAGTCAATGTGCAGCTTCGTGACCCTCAGGGTCAGCTGCAAGATCCCAGCACGCAGCTAGCTCAATTGACGAAGCACTACAAACATCTCTATGCCGCGGATGCTGATCCTACTATTGCAGGCCCACCACGTGCCACCATCAACATCGAGGTCTCCGAGGCCGACATGACACAAGCATTGGCAAGCCTCTCATCCTCCGGGCCTAGCAACCAATGCATTATGGAAGGCCACGGCGGACATCGTATCCCCGACACTCTGCAAATGGACCAGGCAATGGGCCCAGATTCCAGAGCTGTGGCGAACGGCATGGCTGGCTTTGATCCCGAAAGTCCCACGGCCACTCTCCCCTAAGAACTTGAGGCCCATTGGGCTTACGGAATCCAGCGGACGGGATTACGCAGCTATCCTCCAGGCTCAGCTTAAGCCACTTGTCGCGGAGTTTTTGAAGCATGATCCACAATTCGCATACCTGCCGGGACGTAGTGCTGCGCAGGCGATCCAAAGGGTTGTTCTTCATTGCAATCAGGTTCAGCAGAAATGCTCGTACTCTACCCCCACTGTGGTAGATAGGCATGCACAGCTTCCAAAGCAACTTGCTCACTTCGCGGGCATCCAGCGCTTTTGACTTGCTGGATTGGCGATTGTTGGACAGGGCCTTATCCTCCGCAGGTGTTCCCTTGGAGCTCAACAACCAGATTCTATCATGGTATGCGGAAATCACTTATGTGATCACCCACCTAGGTCTGACCGCAAGAGTCCAAGCCCAACAAGGACTGAGACAAGGATGTAAGCTAGCCCCGTTGCTCTGGATACTATCCCTGGCGCAGATCTATCGGGACCTACAGGCCAAAGACGACCCTCTCCTCAACCATGACTGGCTGTGTTGCAACTCCACGATGTACGCTGACGACATCCACCTCAAGGACACGATGTGCTCTGTACTTGAGCTAGATCGTATGGTCCATAGGTTCTGTTCCATTCTGGATGCCCTCCGGGCCAATGGTATGGTAATCAACCTTGCCAAGTCTGCGATACTACTTCGGCATAGAGGAAGCTTTATTAAAGGCTGGTTGCGTAGACACCTGATCCAGAAGAAGGATGGCAATGTGCTTCGACTTCGGAGTTCGGAGGGATATGTGTATGAAATCCCGATTAGGGAGCAACACACATACCTCGGCATCAAGATATCATATCACTCCCCCTCACGATGTGCTGTTGCGAGTCGACTTCAAGCCGCGAACCAAGCATGGCAAAGATTGAGAGGGGTCTTGTGCTCCACTAGGCACCTGGCACTGTCCGAACGGCTCCAGCTGTCGCGGCGCACGACGGTGCTCCCAACCCTGCTCTATGGAATTGCTGCCTCAAGCCTAGAGGACAAGGACATACAAAAGATGCAGCATATGATCACCAAGCACCTTCGGGCTATCACAAAGTCGTTTGCACATATACAACATGAATCCACTCAGGCCCTACTTTCTAGATGTTCGCAGTCCACAGCTCTTGAATGCCTTCAACGCGAGGCACATGTCCTGCACAGTGGCCGAACCCGGCTTCAACCTGCGGATTTCCTGGCAGACAATCACCTAGGCACTGCCAGCCAGACAGACAGCTGCCACCCTCCATGCACAAGTTCAGCAGCAGTGGACAAAACCAGAGGAAGCAGACTGCGATACCTATGCAGCCCATCAATGTGCGGAGTGCCACAGGACCTTCAAGTCCTTCCGGCTTCTTCGCTCACACGAGGCCACTCACCGTGCCAAGAAAACACCCGCCCCCACGGCTGGCTCTTTCAACAGGTACGACCATGGACTGGAGGGCCTGCCCACCTGCAGGCATTGTCGGCATGCATTTCGACAATGGGATGGACTTGTGAAGCATATCAAGCGAAACCGATGCCAGGTACTACGGCGTGGTGACGCCGGCCAGGCGCCACTCATTTCCGAGAACCAACCGGTGCCCACCTGCTAGCCAACAGACTCTGCAGACCCTTCGGTGCCAGCACCAGTTTCGACAGGCAGCTTACCACCGGCTTCCGACGAGCCGAAAGTCCCACATGATCCCCCTGCAGCGGCCTCAGAGTTCGACCTCCCTCCAACCCACACCTTGCCCCTATGTGATTGGCTTGAGGTGCAAGAAACTCTTCACACCCGGCAGTGGACAGAGTTGCTGCTAAAGCCTGACATCCAGGACTACCTGCAACATCACTGCCCTCTCTGTTTCCAGTGGCTGGCTACCACCACCAGTATCAAGTATCACCTGACGAGACAACACTCTGAGTGGACGGAATGTCAGCCTGCTGCACTCAAGCTTCTCGTCGGCATACAGTCATCCAATGTCGGTACTGCAAGCTTAGCAACATCAATAAAGACAGACATTGGAAGCAATGCCACGTCCTTCATATTTGTGCCTTCCTTAAAGCTAGGCATGACAGGACAACGGGAGGACCCCATGGAACTGAATGCCCAGGACAAGCTCTTGTGGAGCCAAGCGGGACCGGTCAAACGGGAGACAGAGGAGAGCCGCACCGACCAGGTGTTCAACAAACGACAGAGACTGGGAGGCCAGAACAAGGGCAAAGGCAAGAGCGACGGGAAGGGCAAGTTCAAGGGAAAAGGGAGAGGGGGCCAGCACCTACAACGGGATCAGACCACAGCGGAAACCTGGGCCTACACAGGTGGTTCAGGACCCCTGCTGGACATTCCGTGGAATGCCACCAAGGACTTGGTCAGTCCAGCGAGCTCAGAGATGGAGTGGATGGAGCATCGAATGTCCAAGTTGACCCAGCTTGTTCTCCGACAGGAACAGATGATCACGGCGCTGAATCAAGACATGGTGCTGCACCTCTTCATCAGGTCGGGTTCGGATGGAATGATCCCAGCGTTGTGCGACTCAGCAACGAAGTGGCGAACGATGAAAGAGGAGTCGCCCGAGAAAATCACCTTTTCCTTGAAGCTGGCCATGTTCAAGCAATTGCTCATCTCCTTGCATCCGAGGCTCACGGAGACGGGGAAAGATGCAGAAGCCATGGAGAGGGCCAAAGGATTGAACTGGGTGGACGATCAAAACCAGTGGTGGAAGCACTTGAAGTGGAACAGGACGACCCAGGCGCTGGAAGTGGATCCCACTCTTCGTCCGATCCCCACCTCGGATCTGCTGACACAGCTCGTCAATGTACGCAAGGCCGTGACCGAGGAATCTCCGCTGCGGTTCAAGTAGGTGCGAAAATTGACCCCGGAAGTCACCTCGGACTGGATTCAATTCCAGATCATCCTTTCGATGAGACAAGAGGGCGGGGCTCTGTGGAACACCCTGACACAATGGATTGGGCAGGCAGCATGGCACACCTTGGGATGCAGACTGAGGAAAGATCGCCCGGCTTACGACAACCTTGTCCAAGAGGTCTGGAACCAGCAGTCGGCAGCACACCAGTGGCACCAGACCTAGAAATGGTTCCTCGGCTCAAACGTCTCCTCGCAGCCCAATTCCAGAATCCCTCCAATTTGTGCTACCTTCACTCAACAATGTATGCCATCCTTTGGACGCATCTTCAGGCTCGTCTCCACTCCGGCACCTTCCCGATGCCGGCACCGGCCCTCAGTATGTTGTGCACGCCTGGCCAGGCTAATGAGCCTCCTGCTGTTAAGGTTCTGCAGCTATTGCCCTGGAGTGTCCTGCTTCAGGCATGGTGTAATGTGCATCACCAACACGACGCCGCAGAACTTGCAACATATCTGCTACTTAGGCTTGGAACCATGGGTATGCATGGATGCTGGGAGGCACGCAATTTTGCAGTGCATGGAGTCACCACCCTTGACTCTGGACCACTGGGACAGCCCATTGCCATAGTTCCGAATGAAGGCGATGTGATTCATCTTCAGCAGTCCGTGGAGGGGTGGTGTGCTCAGGTAACTGCGAAGTTTGCCATGAATCGTGCAGCCCAAATTGTGTGCATACAGCTGATGCGATACAGGAATCTGGAGGGGACCATATCCAGAGATGGCCGTGCACTTGTGGGGTTTCGTGATGGCATTTGGCTGCCTATGTTCGTGGATGCACACAGCATGCAAGTGCAGTGGATTCGATACCAGGTTACAGCTGCTCAGCTTCATTTTGGCGATGCGCCGACGGAGGGCCACTATCGCACCTTGCTGTATGGGCAAAAAGCATTCGCTGAGCGACGGCAGTGGATTACAGATGATAACTGTATGGCGAAGCAAGCTGATCACTCACACTATGCTGCTGTGATATATCTGCTTTGGCTCCGGAAGGAGGAAAGTGGCGAAGACTGAGCGACTGCTCAGACATTGAGAAGTGATGGTGAGTAGAGAGTAGCGAACTACGGATGAAGCTGGCCAATGGCCCTTCAGAGCCCACCTGAGGCTCCTTTGATCACGAAATCATGATTACAGTCAGCTCGCTAGGCGAAATCGGATCCTTCGCTGCGTGAGGAATGAATGCTACTGCTACTGCTACTGCTACTGCTGCTGCTACTACTACTGCTACTCCTACTGCTACTGCTACTGCTACTGCTACTGCTACTGCTACTGCTACTGCTACTGCTACTAGTAGGAGTAGGTTTAGTACTACTACTACTACTACTACTACTACTACTACTACTACTACTACTACTACTACTACTCCTACTGCTGCTACTGCTACTGCTACTGCTACTGCTACTGCTACTGCTACTGCTACTGCTACTGCTACTGCTACTGCTACTACTACTTCTACTTCTCCTTCTACTTCGACTCCGACTACAACTATGGCTACGCCACGGCTACGACCACGACCACCACCACCACCACCACCACCACCACCACGACCAAGACCACCACCACGACCATGACCACGACCACGATCACGACCACAACCATGACCACGACCACTACCACTACCGCCACTAAGTCTACAACTACCACTATCACTGCCACAACTACTACCACTACCAGTACCACTACTACTCCCGCTACTACCACAACTACTAATCCTGCTGTTGCTGCTGCTACTGCTGCTGCTACCCCTCCTGCTGCTGCTGCTACTACTACTACTACTACCGAAACACTACCATTTTCTTCTACGACTTCTGTCTGCGTAGCAGAAGCATCATGCTCATTCTCAGACCTGCATCAATGACATCACCGATGTCATTGGCCATGGTCATCCTCTTCTCAGTCAAGAACTTAACACAAGAGCATCATTGCTTGCAGCTGTTCACACCCAAAACACGTGCCACTGCGGGCCAAAATCGAGACAACTGCCGCTACTGCTTCGGTTACACATGGCACTGACACGACTGTGACGACGGCGATAGCGATTTGGATGTCGTGGCTGGTTGACTCAAATGATGTGGCAACGAACAACCAATGTGATGATAAGTAAGATGGTGGAAATCATGGAGATGATTTTCAGCATGGTGGTGACGATGAGGATGCCGGGGCAGGTCAAGACAATGGCCACGATGACGAGAAGGCCGAGGATGAAGCTGAGCATAGTGATATGATGTGGGTGATGTCGACGAGAAACTGGACCACGACGGAAGGACACGGGTGGGAGCTGGTGGCGGGGATGGGGA